TCCTATGTGGTTAAGTCAATGTTTGAGATGGTGGGGTAGGGCCCTATAGGATTCTGTTAGCATTTATGGTCTCTAGCTCTAAGTAGCATTTGATAAACTCCATGACTTAGTGGACTTGAGGGGTACTTCAGAGGCTGGTGACTGGGGCTAGTCTGGGCCTATGGTCCCTAACCTTTCTCTGGGAAGATGACATCAAATCTTTGGGCGCTCCCAGAACAGTGCTAGAGTTAAATTTAGTTATGCTCTGGCTCACTCAGAGCTGCAGTTCCCTGAGCCTTCTTGTTGGAATGGGACAGAGTACAGTGGAGAAGGTAGCTGGGTTCATCTGTCCTGAATTCTGTTTTTGTTTTGTTTTTTTGGTTTTTTGAGACAGGGTCTCACTATGTGGTTGAGACTGACCTGGAACTCACTATGTAGCCCAGGCTGGTCTCAAACTCACAGCAATCCTCCTGCCTCAGTCTCCCAAGTTCTGGGATTACAGACATGCACCACCACACCCGGCTTCTGTCCTGAATTCTGATGACCACAGTAAGATCTGGATGGGCAGTGACAGGATCATGCTTATTGAGTCATGTCTTTTTTTTTTTTTTTTTTTTTTTTTTTTTTTTTTTTTTTTTTTTTTTTTTTTTTTTTTTTTTTACATTTTAAATTTTATTGGTATATTTTAGGTATCCCTAATGGTAACATTCATCATTTCTGTTTTGATTCATTTGCTCAAAGCTTTCTGTCCCAACAAATGTTGGGTTTTATTAGTTAGCACATATTTTTCTCATATAAAATAAGCAAGATGACATCAGGGTTTACACATTGTGGTGCATCCAGGTCCAAACAGCTAAGTTAGTGGGAGATGGGCTCAGCATCTCCTGCATGGCCACCACCGTGGGGGATGGGGGCCGAAAGAAGTAGGTGTTCTGCTAGGTTCCCTGAGCCTTATGTCAGGCCTTTATGTGGACTTCCTCCTGGGGGAAGGTGCTTGACAGTCCCCATTCTGTGTGTGAAAGGCCTTCCTTGGGAAATATCTCAGAACAAGATTGGACTTTATTTTGATAGTTCTGCTGGCTATTCTGAGTGTGATATTCACTGTTTATTGAATGAGGAGAGAGGAAATAGGAGGATTACTTTTCAGTGGGAATATTTGGGTTTCTGTTCAACCCAAAAGTTAGAGGAAGCTGGGCATGGTGATACATGCCTATAGCCCCAGCATTCAAGAGACAGGCAGGAAATATTTCCCTTTCAAATACTACCTACTAGGGCTGGGAATTTAGCTCAGTTGTTCCACCACCTGCCTTTCAAGCACAAGGACTGAGTTTGATCTCCAATACCAAAAAAAAACAAAAAAACAAATACTACCTACTCAACCAGAGTCTGCCACCTCTCTCAATTTCCCCTTTGCCCACCCTCATATAAATTGACTTTTTTTATTGGAAAGAAGAAAAAAAGGAACTGAGGCAGGAGGATCAAGAGTTTGAGGCCAGCCTGGGCTTCAAGGGAAGCCTTATCTTAAAAAAACAGGGCTATGGATTTAACTCAGTGGTTCCGCCACCTGCTTGCAAGTGCAACGTCCCGAGTTCGATCCCCAGTACCAAAAACAAATGAACAAAAATAAAAGTTTTGGACCAGGCGTTATTCTTCAAGTAAAGTAAACTCTTTTAGAAGTTGAAAGCCATGGATCCCCTCTTCAGGAAAAACAAAAACAAAAATAAAACTCACCTAAGTATTCTGGATCACTAAAAATTTCCATTAAATGACACCCAATTTTAGGATATTGTATCTTTGGACCCCTGAAGCCCATCTACAAATCCTCATCTACAAATAATTCTCTTATCACTATCATTATTATTATTTTGCCTACACAAAGAACATGGTAACAATTTTCATCAGACCTGCTGATTCTCATGGAAGACTCTGCTGTGGAAACTATAGAACTGTGGTTTCAGCAATCACTAAAGAGTTCATGGAAGTAGGCCAAAAGCACCTGGCCTAAAGGGTCATTTGCTTTGCTTAGAAAGTCAAGGGTGAACCACCACCTGCCTCACAAGCACAAGGACCTGAGTTTGATCCCCAGTACAAAAAAAAAAAGAAAGTCAAAAGTGAGGAGGATTTCTCCTCCCCCAGATGCAGCCTGGCACCTTGCCCAGTGTTTCACAGAAGGAACTTAGGGCATGTGGGGTAAGCAAGGGGACTGGTTGTGATGTTTGGGCTTCCCTCAGCATTCCCTCCTTGAGTGATTGCTAAGAAACTCCTCTGCTCTCTAGAGAATCTTGTGGCAATGAGGAGAGGCTGGCTGCCAGGGTGGGTGAGGCCCAACAGGATGGCTACTCCCCAACTCCCAGCCTGGCTGCATTTGCAGTTGCGTGGAGAAGGTGGGAAGGCTAATGACTCATTATCTCTGCAATTAGTCACATCACCAAGGCACATGATTCCCTGAAGGACTTGGTACCACCTGCTGCCACTTTGGCTGTGTTCACTGTGGCTTCTTTCCCCATCTAGACAAGGAATGTGGCCCCAGGAAATCATCACTGTTTTCCCCCAGGCATAGGCCTATAACTGCAGCAGCCGCAGGACCAAGAGACTGGGACTTGAAAGTCACCTCTGCACTCCAGGGCCACACAAGACCTGTAGGGACCAGAAAGACTGATCATGGGGAGGGAGGAGAATGAAGTTGCCTAAGCCACAGATGTCCCTACATGCCCCATATATGAATGATACCTGTAGATACCTCTGTCTCCGTAAATGTATGCATAGATGTGTGTGAGTATGGTGTGAATGAAAAGACAGGTCTTTTTCCCTCCCCTAGGATACTCTTAACTAGCTGGCTATGGCCCCAGGGCAGTGGTGGCGAAACTGCAGCAGACTGTTTGTATGACTGAGAGCTGTAAAAGGTTTGCCATCACTGCCTTAGGGACTCTTTTTTTATTTTTTGTTTTTTTGTTTTTTCAGACAGGTTCTCATTATATAGTTCAGGCTAGTCTTGAAATCAGTGTAGCCCAGGCTGGCCTCAAACTCACTGTGATCCTCTTTCCTCAGCATCCTGAGTGCTGGGATTATAGGTATGCACCACCTCCACGCCTGGCCCCTCTTCCTTCTTGACTTCAATTCAAGAGAGGGTCAAACAGAACTCCTTTATAGAACATCAGTGACTGTCTGTCAGTTGTTCTTAATTGAAAGTCTATTTTAGTGTTGATTCCCTAAGTCCAGATTTCATGTCCTAAAAGTGCCAGTAAAATAAATTTGACATGGCTTCTGTTCTCCCATTTCTAAAACAGCAGAGGACCAGGGATTTAGCTCAGTGGTTCTACCACCTGTCTTGCAAGTTCAAGGTCCTGAGTTCAATCCCCAGTACCAAAAAAAAAAAAAAAGAAGAAGCTTTTTGTGACTGCCTCTGTGAGAGACTGCTTGGGCCTGCATAAGATGACTGCCCTCAACCTTAGCCTTTGCCTCAGTGGAAAAATCCCACTAGACTACATACGTGACTTATGGCAGGTCTAGCCCCTGGGCAAACAGGGAATCTTACAGAAAAAATAGCCCTTTGTGCTAACCACAGGGTCACGGGATCTGGAGCAGGAGGCCGGTGGTATTTCCTTGTCCTGCTTGCCCCTAGAGATTGTTAAGTTAAAGATTGCATAGGGTTAATTGTTGATGTATGCCTTCCCACTTACCCCTCCCCACATTTGGTAAAATACTGATTGCTGTATGGTTAAATGCTTGAGTGACTCATGTGATTGGTAGAGGATTTGTTTGAACTGTCCAGTAAGCTTGCTGAACCTTCCCCCTGGGATAACAGTATATAATCGTTTTGCTGAGCCAATAAAGCGCCTTTGATCAGAAACCAGACTTGGGCCGTGTACTCTAACTTCTTAAAGATTTCCTCCACAGACATTCAAGATCGGATCGGCCTCTGATGACCCATGAATAAGAGGCGGCTCTCACCTCCTATTCCCCGCGGGACGGGGTCCCCCCAGAGAGCCGCATGCCTCTAAAACAGCAGAATGTCCACCCTCCTCTGGGGCACCTGTCCTGCCACATCAGACTTACAGATTGGCTGATAGTGTCTGAACAGACAGGGTGAAGAGTCAGGAACTGACGTGGATCTGATGACTCTTTAGAGGGTGCTTCATGCCTTCTATCCTGTGACATCACACCCAGTCATAAAAAGCCTTTCCCATTTCACAGATGCTAAAACTAAGGTTGAAAGCATCAAGTCACTTACCCAGGTTTTCCAGAAGCAGCAAGAGGCCACCAAGTTCAGAGTCTCTGGCTCCCTGTCTCCAGCACAACTCAGTCTGACCTAAGTAATGGCTACCCCAACTGCCCACATACACACACTAGTATTTTTAGAATCTGCACATACCAGAGCAACAATTCCCTACCTTTGCTATGAAGCTCTTGCCTATGGGGCCTCCTTCAGTAAGTAGGATCTAGAATAGAGAAATTAAGTCCAGTCCTTAAAAAAATGAATGGAAGGGAACCCCTCCCAGTAAAGAAAAGAGAAATCTCTCATTTTCAGCTGCTATGTTCATCAATAATCCAGAGGTTGCGTCAGGACTGATCTGTGTAGTGGCTTCATCAATATTTCAGCTCCTCTGGAGGCCTGTTCCTTAGCAACCACATCACCATGCTCTCCAGGAGGGCTGCTGGGCTGTATGCTTTCTACCTCTCTGTCTTGCAGGTCCTGTCCCTCTTGCCCTTGTGGTCAAGTATAGCCATTCATGCCAACCCCAGCCAGCATTTTTGGTCCTCAGAGCCTTAAAGGGGTGGTGCTGCAGCTAAGAGGTGAGGGAGAGGGATGCTTGACACGTCACAGTTCTTACAGGCCCACCATGGCCAGGGCAGAGAAACAGAGGAGGTTTGAAAGGAGATCAGAGTATATCCCTTGGCTATTTATCTCTACTTCCAGCATAGGTCATAGTTTGCCCTTGCCAAGGCCTTTCCACGGTCATGGGAAAGGGGAGGCTCCCTCTCTTCCGCAGGCTCAGGTGCTATTTTCCTTTGTGGCCCAGGTGCAGTAGAAGCTTGCCTCCTGCATCAGCTGAAACGCCGTGCTGCTGGCTTCCTGCGGAGTGACAAGATGGCAGCCCTTTTCACCAAGGTGGGGAAGACGTGCCCTGTGGCTGGGGAAATTTGCCACATAGTGCAAGAGCTGCAGCAACAAGTAGCGGGCAGGTGAGCCCTCTTCCTATACTTCCCAACCCTCTCTTCAACTCTTTCCCTTAGCATTTGCTCCTTCCCAAGACAACCTATTTGATGATTGGCTTCCTGGTCCATGTCTCACCTGACCTCTTGGGTGAAGGGCCAGTCTGAGGACGGGAGTTGGCCCCTTGTAGACTGAAGGTTCTATCCTTCACCTCCCTCCACTAGCCCAGAGAATCTCTGGGCTCCCATCTTGTGGCATTGGTCCCTGCTTCCAGTGCCCCTGTCATAGAATTTACCTCTGAACATTTGTACTCCTGAAGCCTTCCCCTACTTTGCAGGAAAACCTCAGGAGCCACCCAGGAGGCTCTGAGAAGACAGGGCTCAGCCAGTGGGAAGGCCCCAGCCCTTAGCCCACAGGCCTTGAAACATATATGGGTACGAACAGCACTCATCGAGAAAGTTCTGGACAGGGTTGTACAGTACCTGACGGAAAACTGCAGGTGACTGCCCCATCCCCCACTGGCCCCTCCCTCAACCCACCTGCACAGGCCTTCAGCCCCACCCTGTACATGTTTGGCTATTCCAGACAGTCTAGGCATGCCTCTGTCTTCCCTTTTACCACCCCAAAAGCATAGACCACACCATGAATCCAATTCTAAAGCTCCATCCTATGGACCTATCCCTTCTTAGTTACTAACCTGAATGTGGTCTTTGTTGGGACATCCTTTCCTAGTGAGCTTGACTGCCCTGGACTGAGTCCAGGAGTCCTGTCAATCACTTTGTCTGTCTCCTGGCAGCAAATTCTACGAGAAGGAAGCATTACTGGCAGACCCTGTGTTTGGCCCAATCCTGGCCTCTCTTCTAGGTGAGCCTGAGAGATTAGAGGCCTGTGTAGGGCCAGCAGGGTGAGGGGCAAGCAATAAAGGAGCTCCCTCTAAGCTAACCATCCCTTTTGCCACAGTGGGACCCTGTGCCTTGGAATACACGAAGCTCAAGACAGCTGATCACTACTGGACTGACCCTTCTGCTGATGAGCTGGTCCAGAGGCACCGTATTCGGGGTCCCCCCAATCGTCAGGACTCCCCTGCAAAGCGCCCAGCCCTGGGGGTGGGTGTCCCTTTCCCCATCCTTTGTGCTCATTCATCCAGGCTACACTGAAGCCTGAAGGGAGGGGAAACTGACCCCAAGGTGGTAGCCACCACAGAAGAGCCTTCTCCTCATACTAGCACTTACAAAATGCCAAGAGCCCATCCTAGGCCATGGCCATGAACAGAGCAGGGGCAAGAAAGGGCCTGGGGTCAGAGAGAGAGTCATCATGGAAGTCTGAGCGTTCTCAAGTTCAAAGGCCAATTTACCAAGGCTGGAGCTGAGCCATAGTTTTCCTGGCAGATCCGTAAGCGGCATTCCAGTGGCAGTGCATCAGAGGACAGGCTAGCGGCCTGCGCCCGCGAGTATGTGGAATCTCTGCACCAGAACTCCAGGACGCGGCTACTCTATGGCAAGAACAACGTGCTGGTGCAGCCGGTAGGTAAACTTAATGCTACCATGGGTCCCTTCAGTCTCCCTTTTCCAAACTGGACACTTCTAGCCACAATTGTTTCTTTCGTAAGGCCCTTGGCTTCAGAGAGGGGAAACAGCACCCCGCCCCACACATACCGTTTCATATGATTCATGCCTATTCTGGAGTTGGCAGGAGCTAGGGATGGCATCTGTCCTGGCTAACTGAAAACCAGGCCATCCAGGGTTAGGAATGGCAGCCGGCAGGCAGGGTCAATGCCCAACTTGGAGCTGTCTGGCCCAGAACACACCTGGCATCTAGGAAGCTGACAGGGCAGAGCCAGTGGCACCAGGCCAACCAGGACAGGAGATGCCCAGATCTGCCATGTGGCTCCTGTTCTCTCTTGCTTCTGCCCAGCCTGCAGTCCAGGTCCTGTCTTGACTGCCCTGCTCCCACCTGGACCTCATTTCCATGGGCCATCCCAGGGAGCCTCCCAGCCCCTCATTGTCTCTGTCTTCTGATGTTTCTCCTCCTATAGAAAGAGGACATGGAGGCTGTCCCTGGCTACCTCTCCCTGCACCAATCTGCGGAGAGCCTCACTCTGAAGTGGACCCCCAACCAGCTCATGAATGGGACTCTGGGGGACTCCGAGCTAGAGAAGAGGTGGGAGCCTTGACATTTGACCCCAGGGACCAGGAAAGGAGTGGGAGCTTGATCCCAGGCAGGGAGATGGAGAGACTTGGCCTGCTTTAGGAAACAGGCCTCACTTCTCATCCTAATGCCAAGGAGAGAGGAGAGGCTGCCTGGAGTGATTCCTAAGTGCTCTAGGACTGAGCTAAGCCTGGCCATGGAGAGGTTTGCCTGAGCCAAAGCTCTAGGCAGCTGAGACTTTACTGGCTGTATGTCCATGAGGACAGCATGGGGTTCAGAAGGACATGGCTGGCTGAGGTCACTTCTCAGCAATGGTCATACAATCTTCAGGATAGTTCCCAGGGGTGGGAGTCACTTCCAGGTTACGAGAAAGGGAGGATGACAGGTCTTGAGATACAATAACACTGGTCTGGTTCCTTTTCAGTGTTTACTGGGACTATGCCCTGGTGGTACCCTTCAGTCAGATTGTCTGCATCCACTGCCACCAGCAAAGTAAGTTTGCTTGTCCTGAGCACAGTGGTGTGAGGGCAGAGATATTTTCTTTCTCCCAGTCATACACAACATGGGGCCCATTGGACTTCATGTCTTTCTCCCATTCCCCTTATTTTTATTTTTTGCCATGCTGGGGAATGAACCAAGTCTACCACTGAGCTACACTCCCAGACCCCTGCATCCCTATTAATGCAACTCCTGGGCCACACTCCAGCTTAATTGTCCTCCTAGCCAGCCTGGGGAGCTGGCCAGTGGGTCCATGGTGATGGACAGGGAGGTCTCAAGGAAGGAGCCAGCCTCATTTGCCCACGTTCATTCTCTAGAGAGTGGCGGCACGCTTGTGCTGGTGAGCCAGGACGGAATCCAGAGGCCACCACTGCATTTCCCACAGGGAGGACACCTGCTGTCCTTTCTGTCCTGTCTGGAGAATGGGCTGCTGCCTCGAGGACAGCTCGAGCCCCCGCTGTGGACCCAGCAAGGGAAGGTACCTCAGCAAGGGAGGAGGCTCGGGTGCAGGGCTGTGTTGGGTGGTTCACCAGCCTCCTCCCTTCTTTTCCCCACACAGAATTCTTAGGAACAACCATGGGTGGGACCCTGGATGGGATTTTGTTCTGGACAGACTGACCACCCCCTCCCTCTACAGGGCAAGGTGTTCCCCAAGCTACGGAAACGCAGCAGCATGCGATCCGTGGATGTGGAGGAGCTGGGCATGGGGCGGGCCACAGACTACGTGTTCCGGATCATCTACCCTGGGCACAAGCATGAGCACAGTGAGTGTCCTGAACCTTCTCTATGCAGGAGGCTGAGCATTGCGTCACCCAGGAAGGGTGGCAGATAGGGTCCACTTCTCAGACCAGGTTGAGACAAAGGGTTTGTCACTTAGTCTGTCTTCTGGACCTTTTACCCACAGGTCATCCCTTTGAAAATTTGCCTCTTTTCTACCTGGTTGTCTTCCCCACTTCTTCATTATGTGACTCTTTGCTCAGCAGACCCCAGCATCACTACAAGATTCTCTTAGTCATTCTTTCATGCCCTGCCCCAGAAGAAAAAATTGGAGAGAATAGGACTAGAAGATTAAGGGCTTTACATCTCTAGCCTGCCACCCAGCCTCCATAAAGTGTCCTGGCCATGGGAACTGTACTTCTTTTAGGATAGTACAAATTGTTCACTGACTCCACTAGAGCTAGAACTCCCCTCAAGCCAGCTCCTGATGAGAGGAGTTATGCTGAAATAGGAGTTGCATCTGAAGAGAGTGACTTGGAGCTTGGACTTAACAGCTGGGGTCCCAAAGGGAGCCAGACCTTCATGGCTTGTGCCTTGCCCTGATCACACGCCCCAGGCCTGCAAAATCTACCCATAATTGTATACCAACACCAAAGTTCTCTTTTTGGTCAGACCCACAGGCTTCTCCGGGTCAAAGTCACGTTTCTTGTAGAAAAGTTCAGAGAATTTGCCAGCCCAGGGTGCTTACTGTCAGTCAGACTACCTGCTTCCTAAACTTTCTAACTGGTGCCAAAAAGTTATCAGTAAGTTGTCTCTGTATTAGAAGGCAGATGACCCAGACTGCATATATAGCCACAACACAAATTGCCCCCACAAGATTAGAAAGCACAAAGTTCAAGAGCTCCCCTTCCCTCCCAGATGTGCCTGGCAAAGAGACAATTTTGTCTGGATGTTTGCAAGCCCTGTGTTTATAAGACCGGTGCTCTAACCCCTGAGATATAGGTCTGCAAGCCCTATATTTATTCTCAGGCTGTTGTATAGTTTTAATTCTTTATCCCACTTTCCCTCTTCAGTCAGTGACATTTCCCAATTCTGGTCACTTCACTTCCAGGACCATTTTCATAGAGGGCAAGCCAGGGAATCAAGGGCTGAAACTCAGCTTAGTGGCTCTGGCTTCTCAAGGGCAGCTGTGGGAAGACCCTTGCAGGAGGAGACTGAATTTACAGTCTAAAAAAGGGATTTGGGGGAATCTTTAGATTCATTCCAGCTTGTTCATATGGATAATAATCAGGAGTTATCTGCCAGCATTCATATGTGCCCAGCCTCAGCCAGCTTTTGCTGAGCTCCTGAGCTGCCAGCCTGTCCCAAATAGTCCTTATCTTTCACACCCTTCCCCTTAGTTCTTGTTCTTCTGTTCTTCCTAGAGAGGACCCTTCTAAAGAGTGGAGCTCTGTACCCGTCTCCCAGCCCTGTACTCTCCCAAGTAATCATCAGATCCCCACTTTCCCTCTTCTGTGCCTTCGTTCAAGGTGATCCCAGCCTCTGTAACACTCACCTTAAGGAGGAAGTTGGTTCCTTCTGCTCAGGGACTAGGGTCCTCATGCCTCTGCCTCTCTCACTATTCTCTTTGAGCAGTCACTATTAACTACCACCACCTAGCGGCCAGCCGCGCGGCCTCGGTGGACGATGATGAGGAAGAGGAGGATAAACTACACGCGATGCTCTCAATGATCTGCTCGCGGAACCTCACAGCTCCCAATCCGATGAAAGGTTTTTATCCTTCCCCTTCCCTGACCCACCTCATCCTCCGCCCCAACCCCCTGGGCCCACCTGCCACCCACCGCAGGGGCTCAAACAGCAGTGTTGGCATTAAGGGACTCGTACCTCGGGTGGTTTCTTCTGTCAGAAATCAGCTCAGGGAGCTGGCAGGAAGAGGGGGCAGTGCAGAGTGAGTGGCTCTGGCTATGAGGATGGGGCTTCACTCTGAGAGGGAAGAAGAGTTACAGGAAGATGGGAGTAACTGACTGCCTCTCAGAGGCCCTGAAGGGCTCTCTGAGCCCCTCTCTACCCTTGGAGGTCAATGCTGGCAAATGCCAGATTGTGATCTCATTTTTTTCTTCTCCTGTTGATTGGAAAGGCCAGCCTTCGCTTGTGCTTCTGACTCTCAGTTTAACAGAAACAGGACAGAAGTACGAGGCCCTTCCTGGGGCAAGTGTAGGCACTGGAGAGGTTAAGTGAGGGGTTGGGAGCTCCATTGGAGAGACCTCAGGGTTCAGTGTTCCCAGGGCCAGAGAGCTCCAGCAGCACATGTGACCAGAACTTTAGTATGAAATTTAGAAATAACTGTAGCAGGTGTCCAGGAAGGGGCACAAGCTCAGGTCATGGCAATGTGAACCCATGCCCCACATGTGCCCCTTGTTTACTGTATGATTTTGAGCAAGTATCTCACCATCCCAAAGCTCAGTTTCTCCATCCATGCCAGATGCTGTTTCAAGGGTATCAGACAGGTATGTCTCCACCCTCACAGACCCGAGTCCACGAATACAGAGATCTTTTCATTGGCAGTGACACAGCACAGTGCCCACAGCCCCCTTGGTGTTTCTGTGCTCACCTCCATCTTTCTTAGCACAGAGCTGAATTGGTGAAGAATGAATCCCACCCTTTGGAGAGCTGCCAGCCTGGGGCCCTGTGAGGGCCACATTGGGGCACTTGAGGAAAGGTGGGTCAAGATGGGGTCAGGCTAGCTCCATAGAGTTTAGGGAACTTCCCCAACCCTACCCATTTCTGTAGAAAATTGTCTTTCCCTTTTCCCTGTCCCTATAGAGGAGCCTAAGAATACGGCACTCCCCTTATTCCTGCCAAGGCAGAATTCTGCCAAGGAGCTTAGTTCTTTAGCCCCGCCAATAAGCCAGTAATTTTGAGCTTCTCCATGCTAGCAGCCAAGCCCATGGTTAGAACACACACAGCAGCCCCTCAGTTATCCCTGCCGGCCACCACCCTTCCTGCCACTTGTCTCCCTTGGGTGTGCCTTCTTTCCCTTCCAGTCTGTATGCCAGGTCCAGGCAAGAACATTCTACTTCTTCTGTTTACTGCCCCAACACATGCCTGCCATCTCATTCCTTGCAAACTTGGACTTGGGGCTGCTGCTTATTTATAGGTTAACTGACTTTGAGTAGTATGGTTGAGCTCTGAGAGGGAGGCCAAGAAACCCCTTTTGGCTATAAACTGGCAGCCAGGCTAGAAAGTAGAGGGCTCCAGAGAGCCCTTGTCTTGGCAGACTTGGCAAGAGGAAGCTCATCCCTGACTAATCTTAGGGCTGAGGCTCTCAGGAGCAGAGTCTTCCAGCCCTGCAGAGACCAGAGGCCTCAGGATTGATCTGGGCATCCTCTTGGAATGTGGGGTAGACCAACCTACTGTGCAGCCCGTGGGACCTCAATACTTAGAAAAGGGGAGGAGGCATGATAATAGAACTGCAGGTCACTGGGGAGAAAGGATGGGGATAGGACCCCCCACCTCCACTCCAGTCCATAATGACAACACTGTTGAGTCCATTCTGCTAGCTGTTGCTTTTCAGGCCTGCAACATGCTTGACTTGTGCATGTCACTCAAGTGGCGGGTGTCCAGATCCTACCCCCCTTTCCGGCTGCCTCCCCAGAGAGCAGAGATGCTATTCACTCTAATTCTGCTCCAGGCCAGGCACCTTTCACTCAAAGTCTTAGGGGCTGTGGGGTTCACCCACCATAATTGCTTCTTTACACTTTCCTCATGCTCAGAGGAGAGAGTCAGAGTCAAAGCTGACCCGGTACACCCCCCCCCATCCAGCCTACTGCCCCTCACCCAGTCACTCCAGAGCTCCAGCTGTTGCACTGGGTTAAATCCGAGACACAGTGTTCAGTGCTGGCTGGTTCAGCTCCTTCCTGGAGAATTAAGGTGAAGAGCATTGACCCAGGCTTGATTGTGCCCTGCTTTCTGGCATGAGCTTGTTCGCCTTTGTTTCCCTCCCCCTATTCCCTCTGCATCTACCACCCTTCCTGCCTGCCTGCTGCTTGCTGCCTGCCTGACTGAGTCAACTCCTACCCTGGCTCCTTCCAGGACTGGCCCCTCTCCTGCCTGCTGCAGGGGCATGAGCTGGGCTCCTCTCCCACCCTACCTGCAATTGTCCCCTCCCTCTCTTCCCAAAGTCTTAGGCATGGCTTGCAGCCCCTCACTCCCAGAGCCTCAGCCCTCCTCACTAAGTATGTTCCCTTAATTTGCCTCCTGGTGGAGCTGAATGGCCAGATGAATCCTAGCTGTGGGTCTGGGGAATCAAAGCAGGGCAGCCCCTGAGGGAATGGGAAGGGACTCTGCTCCGTCCTCCCCTCCAAGGCACACTCAGAGCTGGAGTCTGACTTCTAGAAAAAAGCAAGCCTAGGCCTGCTCCAGACCAGGAAGACCAGGGTCCAGGCTGAATCAGGGCTACATTAGATTCACCAAGAAAGCCAGTGCTGAAAGGAATGTCCTCAGCACACATGGTCTATCCTCATTCTTTTTCTCTCTTCTCTGCTCTCTCCCTCTCCCTCGTGACATCATCCCTAGTCCTTTCACTTCCTGCACTCACTGTGCTTCATCTCTGTGGCTCCCTTGACCTACCAGAATCCCCCACCAAGGAGTGACCTGTCTCACTTTGGCCATGGAAACTCTTAAGGGGCTTGAGTTCTGACCCACACCAACGAGGCTGGTTGTGAAGGCTCTATCTGCAGTGGTGTAGACTGTCCATCTTTTGCGATTGCATGTTTGTCTATGACTGCCATGTTGGATGTTGGGCCTGTGTGCCTAATCACCATCCCCATAGTCCCTAGCAGCCCAGGGAATTTTACCCTCCTTGCAGCTCACCTGTGAGATGCTACCATGCCAAGGGAAGTCACACTAGACTGCAGGTGTCTGACCTTGGCAAGGAGCACTGTTGCTACATAATCACTGGCCACCAGATCTAGAACCCTTCAGAAGACTAAGCCCTGTGAGCCAAGTGGCTCAGGGATCCCTTGGGGACTTTGATCAGTGGAGACTCCTCCTGAGAAGAATGGGGAAATGTCACAGGTTGGGGATTCCAAGCACCTTCGTGAGCTTTCTGAGTTTGCCCAAGAGAACCAAGCTGAGCCCTTAAAGGCTGGGTTAGCTGATGGCAGCTCCAAGAACTCAGTCTTTTGGTGTTCCTTCTCTTCCTCCCCTTACTCTAGAAAAGTAGGTGTTTCCTGGTAGTGAGATGGAGGTAGGTAGACACAATCACTCAGTCCAAATATGTTATTACACAAAGAAAAGACAGCCCTCTCGAGGCTTGGTAGAGGCTGGGATATATTTCCATGTGGGCGCTGACCCAGGCGGACACCACCCTTGTGGTTTTCCACTGGTGTGTGACTTCATGCTGCAGCTCTGGGCACAGAGGTGGGCATGCTGCAAGGGGCTTGAGGGAGGAGGCCCACTAGGTGTTGACCATAGCCCCTTCCTGTCCTCAGATGCTGGTGACATGATCGAGATGCAGGGTTTTGGGCCTGGGCCTGGCCTGGCAGCCTGGCATCTGGAGCCCCTGTGCAGCCAGGGTTCCTCCTGCCTCTCCTGCTCCTCCCGCGGCTCCCCATATGCAAACCCCAGCCACTGCAGCTGCATCCCTGACCGGTGAGTGGATGGGCCCGGAATAGCAGTTTCCCATTCTCATGTCCATCTATGTTTGTCCCTCTGTCCTTATAAACTACGTCTGTTGCGTGACAGGGTGACATCTGGAGTTGGGCAGAGTTGGGTTCATACTTCACTTGTGTTACCCTTGTCACTTTGGTAAGCTGCTTAGTCTCTAGGAGCCTCCATGTTTCTGAACCTCAGTTTCCTTACCTGTAAAATGGGAATAATACCACCAGCTTTCTAAGGCACTTGTGAGGACTACATGAATGCCTAGGCTTGTGCCTGCACATAGTGAGTGCTCCCTTCCAGTGTAGAAATAGATCCTGCTGTCAGGCTGTACCTTTGAGTTCTCTCAACAGGTATCAGGGCACCTGCCATGTGCAAGGGCAATGTGAACAGCCTTTGTATGGGGCTGTTTGCCAGGTGTTCTCCTCACCTATCACTTTGTTTTTTATCCTGTTATTCCTGATTATCCTGAGGAAGTGTTCTTCATCTTCATATGAGGAACCAAGATTACTAAGGCAGAGTTAGTTGTCCAGTGTCCCTGTGTTGTTGGGGCCAAGAGACAGCAATATTGAAGGTGATTGGCAAGGATGGGGAGCCTGCTGTTACGCTGCTGGGCTGTAGATTCTCCCCACACCTTCCCAAGTTCCTTACCTGTCTCCCATACCAAAATAACCATGTCCTCCTCCCATCAGTGGCCATCACCCTGGCCCTCTGAGCCAGCTTGTTTCCACAGGTTGCCCCTCAGGCTGCTGTGTGAGAGCATGAAGAGACAGATTGTGTCCCGGGCCTTCTATGGCTGTGAGTGTGTGGTGAGGTGGGGCTGTGAGGGGCTGGGCCTGGGGAGCACCTCAGTCAACGGCCTCCTGGCTGCACACCACAGGGCTGGCCTACTGCCGCCACTTGTCCACGGTGCGGACCCACCTGTCAGCGTTGGTGCATCACAACATTATCCCACCCGACCGGCCCCCAGGGGCTTCAGGAGGCCTCACCAAGGATGTGTGGAGCAAGTATCAGAAGGACAAAAAGGTGCAACTCTGTGGTTCAGAACCAGAGGCCAAGTCAAGGGCTGGGGTGGGCAGGAGTTGTACACAGCTATGTGCTATGGGAGCAACTTCCGTAGTCTAAGTGGGCATTTGAAGTAAAATGCAGTAGAGGTGGGGTTGACAGGCCAGGAACATGATGGCCGTGCAGTAACCCACATAACAATAGAATCTCATATGACCAAAGGTCTGTAGCTGTACATGGGAAGGGACCAGGCTGGGAATTCATTCTGCCTCTGCACTGTGTTATGATCTTGAGCAGATCTTCATCCCTTTCTGGGCTCTATTTCCTGCTTCATAAGCAAGGCAGATGTACCCTGGGGCCCAGGAGGACACAGCCACCCCTAAACAGGTTTTCCATGGCATGGGCTCACCTGTCTGGGCCACAGTGACCATGGGGCCTGCACAGTCTTTCCCCCTGGGCCCTTCAGAACTACAAGGAGTTGGAGCTGCTGAGGCAGGTTTACTATGGAGGCATGGAGCATGAGATCCGCAAGGACGTCTGGCCCTTTCTGCTTGGCCACTACAAGTTTGGCATGAATAAGAAGGAGATGGAGCAGGTAAGAGGAGCCTATTACCTTAGAACTAGAGAGATGGGAGGGGGCCTCAGGAGCTCAGCCTCTTTCTAGCCAGAAAGAGATGTAGCAGAGGAAGGTGGTAGCACAGTCCCTGTGGGCCTTACCTGAGGCCCCACTCTAGTCTCTAGCTGTCCTAGCCTCTGAGGAAGAGACCCTGATGCACCCTCCCCCCATGGTCATGGTGTGGTCTGAGCACAGGTGGATGCGGCGGTGGCAGCAAGATACCAGCAGGTGTTGGCAGAGTGGAAGGCCTGTGAGGTGGAGGTGAGGCAGCGGGAGCGGGAGGCTCACCCAGCCGCGCTCACCAAGTTCTCCTCGGGCAGCAGCATTGACAGCCACGTCCAGCGCCTCATCCACCGAGATTCCACCATCAGCAATGATGTGAGCCAGCTGGCCGGAGGGGTGGGGAACCTGGATGGGGCCCGGGAGCCTTTGACACACAGGAGCCCTGAGCAGCAACCTGACCTCTAATACTAACTCGCATTGGAGCCCCGGGAGGAAGGCTTAATGTTTCTGTGTCTCGTTTTCCTCAACTGAAAAATGGAAAAGTGCTGTCCTGCTGCCAACTTTTCTGAGTTCCATAGGAACCAGACGAGATATTTCTGATGGTTCTCTGTGTTCCGTTTCAACAGACTAGCAGGGAAAGATGGGTGTATTGGGGTTTAGGGAAGCCCTCCCCTGCTTGAGAACTCAAAGCTAGCAATAGGCTCCTCTGGGTTCAATCCCAGATCCACTACTGAGCAAGAACTTCCCATCTTAGCCTGTGTTCTCTTATCTGTTCTCATGTCTCTGAATTCAGAGGCCACACAGATTGTTCTCGTCCAGAAGAGGGGAGCATTTAGAGCAGTCATGCTGGTGTGCACTGGCAAGATCCTCCCTCCCATGATGGTTCTGTCTCCTTGGAGAAGTGACTCCAGAGCTAGTTCCGAGCTTCAGGGGGGTAGTTCTTCCTGGTATCACAGCACACACACACACACACACACACACACACACACTTTTTTTTAAGGTACTGGGCATTGAACTTAGGACCTTTATACTGAGCTACATCTAAAGCTTTTTTTGTGTGGGGGGGAAGGTCTCATTGAGTTGCTAAGTCACTCATGCTGGGTTCAAATTTGTAATTCTTCTGCCTCAGCCTTTCCCAGAATGCTAGGATCACAGGTGTGTGCCACCATGCCCAGCATTCGGAGGCTCTTGATTGTTTCAGAATTATATCCTTACCCAACACTTCAGGTTTCTTGCCCAGAGTGTAGTCTACTTTGAGCATCCTTTCCCTAAATAGACCAGTTAGGAAAAAAAGTCTAAATGTGTGTCTTATTTTCCCCATGACTTGTCATGGTAGTGTACTTCTTCCAATTAGTAGAATGTTTCCTTTTACTTCTGACCTCTCTGCAGCTTGATTGAAGGCTACAATAACTAAGTAATTTTGCTACACAAAACTCCTTGTCCTGCTGAACTTTCAGTACCAAAAATGTGAAAGAACTCACTCTTCCTAAAACCTCCAGATGGCTGGGGATTTAGCTCAGTGGTTCCACTACCGAGGCGCAAGCACAAGGTCCTGAGTTCAATCCCTGGTACCAAAAAAAAACCCCTCCAGCCTACCCCCTACCCCCAACAATGCCCCAGCAGCCATATCAAGACACTAAGGCAGCTCTCCTGGGCTCATTACCCAAGGCTTTGTCAAGTAACACAGCTCAAATAGGCCATGGGGTGTCAAAGGTTTGGCTCTTTTTTCCATACAGCAGCGACAGAAAGCCTAGAGTGCTTCACGTGGCCTAGGGACTGGATAGGGCTTTGGGCTCCCTTACCCAAAGCTTTATTCCACCTGTTCAATTGGGTCCAATGCCAGCTTGGCAGCTTGTGTTGGCTGCTGTGGGTGGGAACAGAGGCGTGAAGAGAATTCTCCATCCCAGCTCCATTCCAACCTAGGGAGGAGGCAGAGGCTACAGGAAGGTCCTAAAGTACAGGTAAGAGCCACCATCTGTTCACTCTTACCAGGTGTTTATCTCTGTGGATGATCTGGAGACCCCAGGGCCCCAGGCCTCTGAAGATGCCAGACCAAAGCCTGAGCAAGAACCAGGAGTTGGGACTCCAGGCACTGCCATGGTGGAGCAGCAGCAGTCAGTGGAGTTTGACTCTCCAGACTCAGGGCTGCCATCCTCCCCAAATTACTCTGTGGCCTCAGGCATCCAGTCCAGCCTAGATGAGGGCCAGAGTGTGGGCTTTGAAGAGGATGGTGGTGGAGAGGAAGGCTCTGACAGGCTTGCCTCTGCAGCCCACACTTTTTCTGAGCCCCAGGATCCCAGCCAGGAGAAGGCTCCACAAGCCAGCGAGCTAGAAGCAGGCGGGGAGCTGGCAGCTGTGTGTGCTGCAGCCTACACTGTACGTGGACATTCCCCAAGCACTCTTCCCAGAGGCCCTCCTGACATGCTAACAACTTGGGGACAGGCTGCAGGAGTAGTACTCTCTCCTGGAGGGCATACCAGGCCCATCTCTCAGCATCCCCAGAGCACTCTAGGTTCCCTGGGTTCCCTATCGCTTTATTTCTTCACTTGGGTACCATATCCTGTCCCTATCCGAGGAGGGGCTGGTCAGCCTCACTACTAAGGGCTGTCCACTCTTCCAGATAGAATTACTGGACACCGTGGCCTTAAATCTGCACCGCATAGACAAGGATGTACAGAGATGTGACCGAAACTACTGGTACTTCTCGCCACCCAATCTTGAGAGGCTCAGAGACATCATGTGCAGGTGCCAGCCTTTATGGGGGGACTCAGGATGGGAGGCAGGGACCCCCAGTTGCTCTGTGAAGGATTCTGTCTAGCAGACACCCTGCTGTTCATGGAATCATACATGACACCTGTTGGGAAGACTTTCCTTACAGTGCCCCTCACCCCACTGCACTCCCAGAAGTCTTTTGGACCCCTGCTTTGACCATACTTCTTCAGGAAGCCTTAACTGTTTTTATTCCCCTGCCCCTGGTACCAAGCTGTGATGGCCTCTTATCTCTTTCCCTAGGGCCATGAATATCTTGGGGGCAAGGGCCATGGTAACAACCCACTGTCTTTCAATGTGGAATACATAGTAAATGTTTCAGTGCCCTGGAAAGGCCAACTTGTATGTACCAGGCTGCTCTAGGGGTGATCTCTCCAGGGATCCCTGCAGGGAGGAAAGGATGGTGCAGAGCTACAGTGACTGTCCCTGGCATTTCAGCTACGTGTGGGAGCACTTGGACATGGGCTACGTGCAAGGCATGTGTGACCTGCTGGCACCTCTCTTGGTCATCCTTGACAATGGTGAGGGATGGAGAATGGAGGACCCCAAAATGAAGTTGGCTTGGGGTGACAGACTGGAAAAAGAAGATGGCTAGGTCTGGGAGGCTGGGAGTGTAAGCCAGCCTATCTCCTGCTGGCCTCACTCCTGTCTCCCTGTAGATCAGCTGGCCTACAGCTGCTTTAGCCACCTCATGAAAAGGATGAGCCAGAACTTCCCCAATGGGGGCGCCATGGATACCCACTTTGCCAACATGCGGTCCCTCATCCAGGTGAGGTCTGCAGCCACCTATGGGCCCATGATGAGGCCAGGGAGTGTTACAGAAATGTCCTGCCCTGTAGGGCTAGGGATTCAGCTCAGTGGTTCCACCGCCTGCCTTGCAAGCAAAAGGTCCCAAGTTCAATATCCTGTACTAAAAAAGAAAGAAAAACAAAAAATGTCCTTTATATAGGAGCTTAATTTCTTTCATTAAAAAGCTCTTGTCCATGTTACAAATCAAGCAGTAGTATGAGTGCTTGCGAATCTGGGGATGAAACACCCAGAAACTTGTACAACTCCAAAAAGAATAGAAGCCAGAGAGACAGGTGTGGCAGGAGAGTGCAATATGACCTGAGGAGCAGAGGGCAGTACAGCCTCACTGGGTGTGGTGGGTGAAGGTGGCAGAGAGGCAGCATCAGGTTGATCTCTCCCTCTTTCCCCATGAGATCCTGGACTCAGAGTTGTTTGAGCTGATGCATCAGAATGGAGACTATACCCACTTCTATTTCTGTTACCGCTGGTTCCTGCTGGATTTTAAGAGAGGTAAGAAGTACCTTAGGTCATGGGACTGTGTTAGGGACAGTGGGGGAATCCCTCTTCCCCTACACTGTACCTTGCAATGCACTGGGGGCTTTGAAACTGCCAGTGCCCTTTCCTACCCAGCCCCCGATGTACTAACTGGGGCTGCCTGGGCATATGTGTTCTTTTTAGATTTGTTTTTGGGGGGGAATGTTTTGTTTTGTCTGGGTTTGTTTTGTTTAGGACTCTAGGGATTGAACCAAGACCTTCACACTAAGCACATCACCAGTCCATTTTTATTTTGAGACTGGGTTTCACCCAATTGCTAAATTGCCTATGATGGGCTTCAACTTCATGTGCTCCTCCTCAGCCTTCCAGAGTGCAGGTTTACAGGCACATACCATGCCGTGTCTTTTTTTTTTGCTTTTCTGTTCTTTAATGGTACTGGGGATGGAGCCTAGGGCACCATGGATGCTCAGTAGCCACTCTACCACTGAGCTGCACTTGTGGCAGGACACATGTTCTTTTTTTTCTACTGGGATTGAACTCAGGTCCTTGCACTTGCGAGGCAGGCAGCAGCACCACTGAGCTAAATCCCCGGCTGATACATGAAGTAATTCTGCATTGCAGCCAGAGTTCACAGTCAGCCCCCTAGTAGGTGATGGTTGGGGAAACTTATTTCAAACCAAATTTTCCCAAGCAGCAAAAGTAGAGTTGTGGGCCAGGGATTTAGCTCAGTGGTTCTGCCATCTGCCTCACAAGAGCAAGGTCCCAAGTTTGATCCGAGTTACCAGAAAAAAAAAAGTAGATTTGCTTTGGGTAAGTGAAGTGCTAATATAGAGTCTGCAGAAACTGAAGAGAAATGGGCAGAAATGACCAAAGGGAGAGGCAGGGACTTGGTGTGTGACATATAGAAGACCCATTCTGTTTATTTTGTTTTTTAGGACAGTCTCACTGTGTAGTTCAGGCTGTTCTTGAACTCACTGTGTAGCCCAGGCTGGCCTCCAACCTGTAGTGATCCTCCTGCCTCAGCCTCCTGAGTGCTGTGCTTTGGGTAAGTGAAGTGCTAATATAGAGTCTGCAGAAACTGAAGAGAAATGGGCAGAAATGACCAAAGGGAGAGGCAGGGACTTGGTGTGTGACATATAGAAGACCCATTCTGTTTATTTTGTTTTTTAGGACAGTCTCACTGTGTAGTTCAGGCTGTTCTTGAACTCACTGTGTAGCCCAGGCTGGCCTCCAACCTGTAGTGATCCTCCTGCCTCAGCCTCCTGAGTGCTGGGATTACAGGCATTTGCCACCACGCCCAGCTAGAACCCCCCCCCCCTTTTTTTTTTTTTTGGTAGCAGGGATCAAAATCTGGACCTTGTACTTGCAAGGCAGGCAGCAGAACTACTGAGCTAAATCCCTGGCCCTTAGAAGACCCATTCTTGAACTAGGCTATATGTAGTCGGGAGAGTCCCACAATTTGGCTGCTGGAGCTCTGTCTCCCATATGGCTCTCTCCAGAGACCTGTGAGCAGCAAGGGCTGCCAGGCTCAGCCTTAGCACCAGACCCTTACTCTCTCCAGAGCTGCTGTATGAGGATGTATTTGCCGTGTGGGAGGTGATCTGGGCAGCCAGGCGTATCTCATCAGAGCACTTCGTCCTGTTCATTGCCTTGGCCCTGGTGGAGGCCTACCGAGAGATTATCCGAGACAACAACATGGACTTCACCGATATCATCAAGTTCTTCAACGGTATGAGCTGGTCCACCCATCCTGTCTGCCCCAGCAGAGCCATGGGGGTCTCCACTTCTGGCCTGGGCAAAATATGAGGGTTCTCAGGTCCCTTCCCTTTGGCAGGATGTCAGGAGCCCAGCAGGTGGAAAAAAACAGAGTAGTCAGCCACAGGGCCCCTCCCTAGCCTATTTCCCTCTCTCTGGGCCTCCCTGAAAGTATCCCTGTTTCTCCCAGAGCGGGCTGAGCATCACGATGCCCAGGAGATCCTGCGGATTGCCCGGGACCTGGTCCACAAGGTGCAGATGCTCATAGAGAACAAGTGAGCACTGGCTGGGAGCAGCGGCATGGAGAGAAAGCCAGGGCACCAGGCCTCTGGGCTCTAGCAGGGAAAAGTTCAAAGGCGTCACAGCCCAGACTGCCCCACCCCCAGACGACTCTGCCTGTCCAGTTGTGTACCTAACAAAGTGAGTGTGAGCCTGGGACCCAACTCCAGGCAGTGTTGGCCCTTTGGGGCACATCAGGGGCCAGGATGCCCTCAGATCAGGGCCGTGATGGGAGGGGTTGGCCTTAGGGAGCAGCTGCCTTGAGGGATTCCTACTCTGTTCCCCTCTCAAACAACTGGGAGCAGCCCCACTGCCACTTGCATCCTCAGCCTAGACTGTTCCTTGATGCTTCTCTTGAGCCGGCCTGGGTCCTATAAGGCTAGCAGAGGCTACAGTGGCCTGCGCCCCACCTAAGTGAGAATGGCATCAGGCAAGAGGCTCTCTGCTGTATCTCTCCTGAGAACCCCTTTGCAACCCCAGCGGGGACAGCTACAACAGCTGTTCATTTGGGCATGGATCCTGGGGGCAGGGACCTGGGTCACCCTCCAGCTCCTCGCCTGAGATTCAGGGGCAGTCATACATAGGCCCTGGGTGGGAGCAGCCCACCTCAGCAGCACTGACACTGCCTCTGGCCACCTGAGATGATGCCATGTACTTGCCGCACTGCACAGTACGTGTGTGTTGGTACAGTATCACTCCCACCACCCTGCCCTTGCTTTATACATTAGATGCATCCCAGAAACTGTGTTTTTTGCCAGTTGGGTGATTTGAAATGTAGTGGGAGTTCTTGCTCCCCTTGGGAACCCAGGGTGATTCTGTAGGGAGGTAATCGTGTCACAGCCTTGTCTCGGGGACAGCCCCCTGAGCTTTAGGGCAGCCTGTTGTCTGTCGCAGGCAGCTACTAAGTCCCTGGAGGCAAAACGAGTTGGAGGATGTCTGCATCTCCCCAATTTGTCGCGGTGAGAAGCAAGGCCAGCCTTGCCTTCCATGTGCCTCTTGGGATGCTGAGAGGCCTAGGGACCCAGAATCCTCTGGGAGGAGCCACACTTTCAGCTCCTGACCTGAAGCCTAGGCATGCTGCTTGCTGTCATCCCTGTTCCTCTACACCCCAACACATTCTAGGCTAGGCCCCTGGGGCCTGGAAGCCACACCTGGGCTTGTGACCTGCCCAGCAGTCACCAAGATATGCAGACTTCCTGCCTTGAGAAATATGAGCAAGAGCGCAGCAGCTCTTGTGCATTCAGCACATCCTGCCTAGCCCACCCCTGCCCAGGCACTGCATGGCCTCTGCGGGCCAGCCCACCCCACTGCCTACCCCATCATCCATGAGTCCTTGGCCTTCACCAAGCACAGGTGGCCGTTGTGTGCCTGCCTTAGTGACTCTGGTTTTGTGAGGAGCAGAGTGTATGTTTTTTGCCTCAGAAACTATACTCTTCAGTGTAACAGACCAATAAACACAGCATTTGGCAATGCTTGAGACTCTGAGGCGTGTTTGTAGCACTGACACTGGATGTTGAGTTACTGTGTACTGGGGAATTCTGTTCACTCCACAACAAAACACAAGGGAGTCAACTCCAAAGACAGTGATGGCAAAGAGAAGCAGAGTTTCTGGGAGAGGGAGCCTCTGGTCTCCAGGTGGGACAGTGTGGCTGGTCAGGGAGTTGGGTGATAGCTAGACCTTGCGTACTCAGTGCTGGGGGTGGGGCTAGGCGGGGCTCAGCTCAGAGTCCTGGCTCTTCTCAGACTGACCAATGGCCTCTCCAGCCTACCCTGGCCCCCACTTTCCTGCCCTCCCAACCTGCTGCAGTTAGGAGAGAGTTGTCCTTGACTAGGAACACAGGAGCCCCTCCCTCAATCCGCCAGGCACACCCTCCCCTTTGGCTGTGGCTCCCACTCACTAAGCAGTCTTTGAGATACCTGGGTCACGTCAGGGACTGCAGACCCTCTTACAATAGGGGAAAAGACCCAGCTAAAATAGGTCCCCTCCTCCCCTGCCCTCCCCTCACTCCTGTCCCATTGGTCACATCATCAGTGGCTCCAGATAGACAACTCCAGTCATATAACATGCTTTCTAGCTCTACAGAACCCTTGCTTTCTGGGCATTAGGACCTGTTGGCAACTCCAAACTGAAAATCCCAGCCCTTGGCCCCAGCAGGCTGCCCTGGGCTATTAGGATAGAACACAGCTCACTGGCAAAGAAACCAGTTAGCTCAAGGAGCTCTGGGGCTAGGGGATTCCATAAGCCCCTCTGAAACACTCCCCATCCCTGAGCTTGTTCTGTGGCCCGGAGGAATCAGAATTCCTTTTGCTACGAACACCTGTAAATTTATCAAAGTCCTGGATAAACTAGCTGAGGGGTGGCCAGGCTCCTTCACACACTTCCCCTCTTCCCTCCTCCACCTAGACTGGCTGCTGGGCATCCAGCACCACAGGGAACCCCACAGCCAAGACGATGGGGAGGTAGAGGCAGGGGGCGGTCTTATGGGTAGCAAGAAGTAGGAAGCATGTTGGGCTCTAGAAGCACCGTCTTGATGGGGATGCACCCAGAAGTTATCTGACAGACCAGGGGTGATAAGTGAAAGCAACTGGGTTCATACTTAGGACTTTTATTTTCCATAACCCTGACCACAGGCCCCTGACCACAGGCCCTTCTCCTGCAGGCTCCACCTGGGCCTGGGTGGTGTCCTTTGAGTACCTGGATGGGGCCTGCGCCTGCCCTAAAGCTCTAGCCACTGCTCTCAGATAATGCCGAGTCATTGCAGTCAGGGCAGGGTCTTCATCCGTGTCTCCAGTGCTGGGCCCAGTACTGGCTCTGAGTGGGTACTCCAGAAGGGCTCGCTCTAACCCAGACCTTTTTCCCTTATCACTAATGGGCCGGTGGATGTGACCCAGATCTTCCTAGAGCTTCCAGCAGAGGGAGCCCGCACCTCACAAGTGAAAAGGGCTGGCGCAATGGTGGGTCCCTGGGGAGGGGTGACTGAACCTCTTTAAACCTAACCCTTCTTTAAAGAATAAGACTCCAGTGCATTTGAAGCTACCACTACCTTCCTTCGAGGGAACCTCCTGCAATACCCATCCCAGGAAGAGAGGCATTCCACTTTCCTTGCTGGGACTGAGATCAGAGAGAAGCCAGACAAGTACAACCAGGCTCAGCTAACTGCTCCCTGACTCTGCTCCCCACCCACCACCCAGTCTGCCAAAGGGCTGGACTGGGGAGACAAAATGCAGCTATGGGACAGTGGTCTTTCAGTTCCCCTGAGAACATGGCTCCCTGAACTCTGACCTCCAATTTCTTCCCCTACTTTGAAAGGACGGCTTTGTGGAGCTGGATGTAGTGACACATGAACTAGGAAGGCTGAGGTAGGACTGCCATGAGTTCGAAGCCAGCTTGGGCCACATAGTGAGTTCAAGGCCAGACTGAATTACAGAGCAAGAAAGATCCTTTCTCAAAAGACAGGATAGCTTTGTGGACATACACCCCACCACCACCATCCTCCTTGCTTGCCATGACTACAATCCCAACAGTGGTTTCTTAACTTCTGTGCCCAGATCTTGCCTTCCCACTGGCTCCCTGGCAGCACCCAACAAGGGTACCAAATGCTAGGGGACAAATTCTGCATCAAGGTGAGATCTGACTAGCTCTCACAAGGTCCCAGGCAACCATGTGACTAAAAAGTCACTCAGCCACTTCAAACTTGCTCATCAGCCAGAATGGGCTAGCTCTTGGCTTACTCCACTGGGCTGTTAAAAGATGAAATATTTGTAGAAATTGTTTGAGGAAGTATAAAGCTTTGCAAACATGTAAAGACGACCAGAACTAGAGTCTAAGAGCTTGAGCCATAGAATCAGAAAAAGGCAGCCTGAAGTCTTTTTCTAAAACTTTTTGCCTGCCATCTTAAGGACAGACTGACCCTTGCTACTTCTGACTAGATGGCTTTCCCTTCAGGCTGCTGCCTCCTTTGCAATGAAATGACTCAAATGCTGCAGGCTTGCAGCTCCATTTTAGATTTCAGTGCAGATTTATTTCAGCTTTATATTTTATTCCAGGCAAGTGCTTATTACATGGATAGTATTCATGTCTCAATACCTAAAGTCTTGGAGCATGAACAGCCACTAGAATACAGTTCAATAGTAAAAATACAATATGTACAAAATTAGGGTTTTTGTAGGTTTTTTTCCCACACAGCAGATGTATCCAAACACATAAAAATCTCTACAGTCTGGGGTCGCTACAGTTTATATTTCAGGAAACGGAGACACAGTGACCGAGTCCTCACTGTAAACAAGGGCCACCTCTTGGGGGTTGGGGATGGGACCCTGGGATGGGGGGAGAAGCAGCTGTTTCCAGAGAACAGGGGTTCTGGTGACCCAACTACACTCCAGGTATTCCCTGCCCTTCTTTGGCCCCCCAAGGAACCACCTTCCCCAGCTCCCCGAGGTAAAGACTCCCAGCCAGTGAGCCACTCTGAACACCAAAGGTTAAGTACAAGCATGAGAGGTAAACTGTGTGTGTGTGTGTGTGTGTGTGTCTGTCCCAGGCTGGAAGAGCTAGGGAGGGAAGGGCCAGGCGGTCCCATCGGGTGAGGACATACATGGTCCTAACACCTCTTAGAGGGGAGACGCCCAACGTAGGGCTAGGAGGTGGCTGCCCACTTGGGCACACAGCATCACAGCGTTCACAAACAACAAAAACAACAGCAACAACACCCATTGTCACCAATCTGGACATAGTCATTCGGCACTAGATTTGGAGACCCCCACTTGGGGGGAGGGGTATGGGGGGGACAGGTGGATGATGAGGTATCTGTGCGGCCCAAGGGCAACTGGCCAACACGGTGGTTTGAACTCTGGAACTGGCCTCAGGTTGCAGGGAGGTGAAGCAGGGCAGGGTGGGTTCCCCAAAGTGCTCTGACTGCTGGCACCAGGCTGCTGCTTTCCATTGTTACAAGGACAGCGAAGCCAGGCCCCCGGTGCCAAGGTGTCAGTGGAGGTGGCTGCAGCTGCAGGAAGGCAGGCAGCTTAGGGGATGAGGTTGCTGGGCTAGGGCTGCAGGGTGGAGACCTAATCTTAGGTGGCCCTTTCCCCACCTCAGGGAGACAGACATCCCCTGGGAGATCTCCAGGAGCAGGAAGGAACTGGGAGTTCTTAGGCCTCTAGAGGTCCTTACTTCAAGAGAATGTGTTCAAGACCTTTGCTGGCCTCCTTAGTGCCTGCCAGCAGGGCACTCCAGAGGACCCTGAGTTCTCTCCTCCTGGTCCCCTTGCCTACCCCTCAAAAGTGCAAACTCCACATCTAGGAACACTGGCTTCTTCCCCCTACACTGAAAGGCCATTGGTGAGTGTCCAGTGGGAAGCTGAATGTGCATGCGAGCGTGTAACTGAGTGTGTCTGACACAAGGCCACTTGTAATAAATAACCACATAAAAAGCCTGCAGAGGCAAGGACCACAGCATCACCCAGGACAGGGCCCCTTGCTTCCTACCCCAAGCTCAGCCCTGTCCTTCATCCAGCTAAAGCCCTTTCCTCATACAAGGGTGGGACCCTCAAACCTGCCCACTGCAGAAACAGGGATCTGGGAAAGTAGGTGACACGGGCAGAGCAGCAGCTGCCCCTCTTGATAACTCCCAGCTTTGGCCCAACTCCCTCCTCTACAGGCCTCCAGGGCCTGTTTGGGGAGGGGCTCAGGGCTTTGGCCAAGCACCTGCATGTTAACTTCCGGTCTCAACAATGTGGTTTCTCAGCTCCTGAGACCAGGATCAGCTGCTGGTCCAAGCCTCCCAGGCTGGAAGAAAGGTGCCCACACTCCCTTATTCCTTGGGGAAATGTGCCACACTGAATAGAAATTAGGGAACCAGGAGAGTGAACACCGGACAGCACCTCTTCACTACCTTCTAGAAGTGAAATGCCAAGCCCAAGGCCTGGGAGAGAGGCCTTCTCCCAGGCCAGGCCCAGACAGCAGGGAGTTGGGAGGCCTGACAGCCAAGTCCTACCTTTGCCAGCCCCAACCTCAGCCTGCCCTCAGGAGGCCAAGAGCCCAGCAGCAGGAGATGGGAAGCCTGGCAATAGCTTGGGGTTTATTGTTGGTAGAGAATTGTTTTTTTAAGTAGTTCCTACTGTAACAAATCACAGTGACTACGAGTGGGTCAGAGGGCCCCAGACCCACCTACCTGGGCAAAACTCCAGACCAGCCACCTCCTGGAATCTGTCACAGGTACTCAGAGCAGGACCCTCATCAACCCCATCTTCACCCAGCCTTCTGTGTCAAGTGGCTTCTGTTGTTTCCCCTGCCCCTCATCCAAAGGCCTGGGAGAACACTGAGGCTGGAGGGGGGAGGCCCAGGCACTCAGTCACCTCACCAGATACAGCATTAGCAGCAGCAGCAGCAGCACAGGAAGGTGGGCAGGGCAAGGAGAAGCCAGGGAACATGACGCCACCTCGAACTGGTTTCAGGGTACAGGCTAGGGAGGCAGGAGCGGCAATGGAGCTGGCACCAGGCCGGACAGGTGGCATGTCCACGAGCGTCTTTATCAGTCACTTTACCCAGCCCTGGTACAGCAGGGAAACCCCCTGCCCTGCACCCAACTCCCTGGGGGCCCCTCCCTCCCCTGGCTCAGTCTCTGCACCCCCTTCCCCTAGGAGGCCTGGGGGTGGCATGGGTGGGGCGGGCACGGGCCTGGCTGGAATGTGTGGAGCTGGTGGGTGGGAGAGTGGGGGAGAGGTCCCCCTCTCTGTCCCCACTGGGGGCCTCTGAGTGGCCTCATCCTCAAGCCAGCTTGAGCGTGCTGACCGGGAAGGAAGGCATAGTGACCATCGTCACAGGGTTGAGCACTGTCTGGCCCACTAGCTGGGGGTGGTGCACCACCTGGGCCCCCACAGCTGGCTTCGCCATGACGGTGGCCGGGGGCCCCAGCCCGGCTGTGCCATTCACTTGCTGGTGTGAGAGGGTGTGGGCAATGTGGCTCACCGCCACGGGCTGGCTCACTGCCACGGGCTGCGGGTACAGGGGCAGCTGGGAGCCGAGGTGGGCCACGTGGTTGAGGGTGGCAGGGTGCACTGTGATGTGGCCAATAGGGGGTGTGGCAGGTGCCAGCTGCACAGCAGGGCTGGGGGCCGAGGGGGCAATGTGGGCGATGTGCTTGCCACCCGGCCCCTGCAGAACATGGTTCACAGTCTGGATGACTGAAGCATGGGTGGTAGCCGTGTGGGCAATGACCGTGGAGCCACCCCCAGCTGTGGCCACCAGATGAGCAGGAGCTGGTACCAGCGTCTGGGCAGGGGTGGCTGGTGGGGGAGGAGGAGCTTGCAGAGGGGTCTTCTGCTGTGGCGGCTGCTGCTGCACAGGCAGATGGGCAGTAGACAGTGCCACTGGGTGCGGGTGTGGGTGGGGAGGCAGAGGCGTCGGGGCGGTGCTGTGGGCAGGCAGGGCAGACTTCAGCAGCTCCGGCTGGGGATGATGGCTCAGCTTAGGTGGGCCCAGACCTGCCCGGTCCTCCTCCATATCCTCGTCTATGTTGTCCTCACCTTCTGCAGGGAACATGGGCCAGGGAGCAGGTCAGAAGGGCTTGGGAAACAGGTGGTTAGAGGCACAGGCCTGTGGGGGGTTGGAGGTATAATGGAGCTGGGGCAAGGGGAATATTTTCTAGCAGGCAAAAACCTAGACAAGGGACAAAATCTGCTGTAGGGATAGTATCTGAGGTGATGGGGAGAGTGTAGGGGCCGGGGCTCACCAGAGGCTGTTGAGGTTGAAGCCTGGTCATCCTCAGGCTGGCCCGTCTGCCGGAGCACACGGTCAATCTCTAGCACATCCATCCACTGACTCAGCTCATGCTTGAGCTCTGCCAGCCGCTGCTGGGTGGCAATCTTCTCCCGTGCGAGACGCTCCATCTCGTGCTCATATTCCTTCTCCTTCCTCTTCAGGGACTAGAAGGAAGGGCAGGGTCAGCAAGACAACATGAGCACCAGCAGCCCACTGAACTTCAAATCCCGTCCCCTACCAGCCAGCCCACATATACCAGGGTGCAGCAACCAAGACAAAGGACACCAGGACACCCGACAGAGGCTGCTGGAGATCATGCCTGCCTCTTGCTCCACGGCGCTGCCCAATGAGGCCCACCACCTTAGACACGGAGGGCTTCCAGGCAGGTGCACAGGTCCAAGCTAGTCTCCTTCCAAACTGGGGTCCTCCCCACTACACACACACACACACACACACCCCTTGTCTTGGTCCTGAGGGCCTCACCTCCTCAGGGGAAGAGACTGCCCCATCTCTCCTCACAGCCTTTCTACCTTCTGGCTTCCTCACGTCCAAGGCCTCCACCACCATTCGCTCTATTCCACTCAGTCACCAATGTCCCATGCTACCCTCCTTGAAACTTATTCTACAAAGAACTCTAAGCGATCCTGCACTACTCTCCACCTAACCATTCACCTGTCCCTTTGGTAAGTATATCATCACTGGAAGATGACCCTCTTGACTCTGTGACATCATCTGTTCCTCTCTTCTCTGTGACCTGCCCCCATCTCTTTCCCAGCAGCTGCTGGCTCTGTATCCCCCTCCAACATCCTGGCTACTCCCCATGGTGCCCACCCGCACTGCCTCTCAGCTACAATGGTAACATGGCTTCCTACCCAGCACCTTCCCACAGACTACCCAGCATAAACCCCCAACCGTGGAATGTGGCCCACTGTCCAAGAAGAAATGAGTTCATCAGCACCCAGTGACTCTAAACACCCCTGGAGAGGCTTCTGTTCTCTCACAGGTTTCAGTTCAGCCCACCTTCCCAAAACAGAGGGGCTCCTTTCGCTCCTCTTCCTGACCTCAACAACCTTCCACCTGTCAGGTGCAAACCCTTCAGGTAGACTACCAGGTGCTGGGGGCTCTCACAGTGGGGCATCACTCTAGCTTCTTCTAACAGGTTCAGCAGCAGCTCCAAATGGCCAGCTCTGGTCTCGCCGCCACTCAGTTCTCCTCCACACAAAAGTCCTGACTGATAGTTGATAAGCCCAACTCTTAAATCTCACAGGCCTCCCTGCAGGCAGCTCTCCTCACCCAGGAATGTTGACTGCTGTGTCCACCAATCAGGGCAGCCGCTCTCTCAACCTGCTCCTGAGCTCCTAGCTTCCACGCCTGCCAGTCAGGCCCAGGTGTGGAGTCCACAAGCTCTTCTCAGTCTGGACTCTGACTTGTCTCAGTTTTTCCTTTGGAACCCTGACTCCCTGCATACTCACACTTGGATCCTCCCTCCTTCATCCCTAGGTCTTCCACACTCCTGCTCCAAGACCACACCTGGCTGCCTCCATGGTCTTTCCTCAGCCTGCTGCCTCAGAGCACCTCTTAGCACCTATACCACACACTTGAGCATGACTCAGACCGCTTTTTCAGACAGTGGCTCCTACAACTGCACTGTCTTGTGTATGTTCTGTCTGTCCAGCCCAATACACACTGCCTTTGTTCACCCTGCAACTATAGGTGAAGACTGCTACAAAGTCAATTTACACCCCTGAGCGTACCAGTGGCCAGGACCCTGAGCAGTGTGCCACTTCCTGGTGAGTGTACTAGTTCCCACCTTTGTCCTGTCCCTCCTTCCCAGCAGAAGGAATCACAAGGAGTTGGAAAACCTGGATCTCCCAGGTCTCTAGAGGCAGTTTTGCTACTGTGTAGCAGTTTTGCTTGACTGGGCAACACTTTCAATCCCAAACCCCTGCTAGGCCCCCAGCCCATGCTTCTCCAGCAGCCCCAAACTCTATTTCTGACCTCACCACTGGTGCCTCAAACCGTTAATGCCTGGGGCGCATAACCCAGAAAGAGCCACGCTCTATACCAGCCCTGACACACCTGACACCAGTCCCAGGCCACACAGCCCCCATATATCATCCCGATGTTAAGTTTAACCTGCTCTCCTTATTTCTACTAGAAAGAGCAAGAAAGGCCTTTTCTTGCCTACGCTTAGCCCACTTGAACACATGCCTACTCTTCCTGTGTCTGTCCACTTCACTGGGGTGTTCTTCGAGTCCTTTACTAACTCCAAGCAAGGCTATACCGTCTATCTGGGAACTGCCTTCCCACAGCCTCCTCCTCTCAACCCACCACAAACACCCTTAGTCTGCCCTGCCCCACTGCTCTCTCCAGGACCAACTTTTGACTTTTACCAAATGCCTGCTGTTCCCTGCATGGCAATGCTCTTAACCATCTTTTACTTTCAAAAATACATCTTTGCTCCTGCTAGAGAAATTGGCCTATGCTGGGCTCTCTATCCTCCAGTTTGCCTTTTTTTTTTTTTTTTTTTTTTTGTACCACAGATCGAACTTGGGCCCTTGCACTTGCAAGGCAGGCGCAGAACCACTGAGCTTAAATCCCCAGCCCCCATTTTGCCTTATTTACCCTAACTTACCCTACAGGTCTAATTTCGAAAATCCTTTCCTCAGCAACAACTTCCCTAACTCCCCCAATCAGATCCCCCCACCATGGAATCCAGGCTTGCTTTGAACTCACGATAGCCCAGAATGGCCTCAGACTCACGGTGATCCTCTTACCTCAGCATGCTGAGTGCTGTGATCATACCCGGTCCCAAAACAGATTCTGCCACCCCTATCCCCACTGCACTCTCCTGGAATAGTCCTCTGCATGTTCCCATGTTAACAATCTGCCAGGAGACCAAATGTAGAACAGAAGCCTATCCTTTCTTCGCTTTCCACGTATCCTCAGAAGAAGACCTAGAGCCTAGCTAAAAGAGCTTGAGAGAATATATCAATGAGTGATGGTGAGTTGAGGGTTTCAAGTCTAACGAATTTCCTGTTTCTGCTTCTATTACCAGACAAGCATTCCTTACAGACAGCTTGGGATCGTGTCCACTCCTTACTCAGCCCCAGCCTGGTCCTAAGGAGCTTCACTCTGCAGCTCCCACTGAATCGGTTTCTGATTTATTTTCAAATCCAGGTGTTGTACAAGTCTCCTCTCCACAAGCATGCAACTAGAAAGAATTTGCCATTTCATCCTTCCTTCTTAATAATTTCTACTAAGTTAATGTTTAGACTGCTGCAAATTACTTGTAAAAACAATCACAATCATATCTTAGTGGCGCTGTTTTTCCTATTTAGCATCATTACACAAGACGAAACTGGTTATTCTTAAAAAAAGTCACAGCATATCCACAGCGATTTGTTAAGGAGGCGGCAGGGCTAAAGATATCAAAATTACACCCAAGCCTAAACTGTACAAGAATATCCTGAAAGTAAGCCGTCCGCCCTTTTTTCCTGGCCTCAGTGGGACCCGCTGTAACCCGAGCCGAGGTCACAAGGGTTTCAAGCCAGGCCCCGCCCCACCCAGAGCACGCGCGCACCCACGCGGGCCGGCTTTGCTGCGTCACTCGCAGCGGGCCGCACCCTCCCTCCTCCAAGCCCAGGAGCTCCGCCCCACGCCCGGCTGAGCCAATCCGCACGCCCGACCCCGCCCCTCCGGCTGCCGGGAAACGACTTGGAGGCGCGCCAGCCTCTCTCCTGCCCAGAAGGGCGGGCGAAAAGGCGCGGTTCGCAGGAGGAGCGCAGAAAGCCGCTGGTTGGCGCAATGAAACAGCACCTCCGTCCGCCAGCAAGTCAGGCTCCGCTTGCTTTAAGGCTGTGACCCAGGCTGTGGAAGCCGACGGAGTGTGGTAGCACACCTTCGACTATCTTTACAAACCCTCCCACGGGGCTGCGGTGCAGCCCAGCCCGCCCAAAACTGCTCAGATGAGCCAAAGGGACAACAAGCGGAGGCTCAACCTACCCCGCCCCGCTCCGCTGGGGGCCCTAAGTCCCTCCCATTACCCCAACGGCTCCCAGTCGCTGCGGAAGCCAGGCGTGACCGCCCGTCCCATCTCCCGCCCAGGCTCCCAGCGCAAGCGGAACCCTCCGCGGTTTCCAGGGAAACCGAAACTCCGGGCCGTCATGACAACTGTTTTATCTGGCAGTCCCCCAATCTGCAGAGCCGAGCTAGTGCCCAAAGGGAGGAGACACAGCCAGGTGGGTTCCCTAAAAGGGGAACCCCTTTAACTCGGGCCAAAGGAAAGCACGATGTTTTAAGATTCAGTGACCTCAGGGCTGTCAGACCGCAACATCTCCCAACTCGTGACCCAAACTCGGGGTCACCGCACATTAATGCACGCGCTAAAAAGCTCTTAATCCTTTAGGGGTAACAACGGGGGGGCTTAACCTGCGCGCTGCAGTGTGGACGTGAGGCCACACCCAGGACCCCCAGGCACTGTGTGCGGGAGGCACCGGGCGGACCCGCTGTGTGTTACACAAACAAAGCAGGGTCCGGCGTGGGGCAGTAAGGTTCCGTGAGCCTACAGCAACAGCCACGGCGTCTCCGCCGCGTGGACGCACCGCGAGGGGGAAGCGGGCAGGGGAAGCCGAGCGCCGCTGCCCTCCG